ATACAACGGGCGTAACAGAATACAGCGTTTTATTAATGCATGTCGTAGACAGCGAACCAAATTTATTTTGTCTACGATTGGAGCTGCTGTACGCTCTACTACAGTGACCCGATTAGTGTGGAAGTGAGCGCGGAGTAATGACTGGTGGAATAGTGTCGTTATACGAACATGGGACAATTTTCACACCCAAAGGTCGCCGCAGAGGGCGCTTAGCCCTGGGCTAAGCGTTCGCGCATACTTCGTTAGCCCGTGCTAAGGTCTAGACCGAGTCTTAAATTCGGATCAGATTTAAACCATACTTAGCATTCCTTAGCCCGTGCTAAGCGTTCACGCACGTTTTCTTAGCACGGGCTAAGGAATTTGACCTCTTAGCCCGTGCTAAGGAGCTGTGCGTGAACGCAACTATTATCAACACCAGTTATTTGACTGATTGTTGTTGCCCACTTTGTTTTGTTGTTGATATTGTAAGACATTGCCTCATGAATTAGAGTATTTTCTTTCACAGTGCATGATCTATGCCAGTATTTTATCATCATTTTATTAATAAATACTGACAGTGGATGTCTACCCAGCTCTCCTCTTACAGCCAAATTTGTCGCTTAAGGTAGCGAGAAGGGAAATTTTCACTTTTTTCTTGATTTTTCAAAAATTTATAAAACGGTTACTTTAGACCTTGATACATCATCCCAGGTTAACAAAAGATCGAAATTGCGAAATAACGTTGCTTAAATTAGTGTTTTAAAACACTAGAAGAAAAGACTACAACTGCCATTTCATGGATATTTGCATAATGTTTATCTTTGGAAGGGTTTAAATGATAACATCTTATCTGTATACTCTGTTGTTGATGATTCTGATATAACGGGTGATAAGCTTCCAGTCGCAAACAATGCGTGTTTATCTAACATCCATTGTCAGCATTATTGTCAGTCGAGACTTCGTCGGAGAAACATGGTCATACAGTCCGGGCATACAGTACTCATTTCGCCCAACCTTCCGCTTTTACATCGACCGCTTATCGCTTAATTTCCGACCATGCGGTCTTGTCCGACCGGAAACCGACCACATTTTAATCACGTTTTTTTTCGCTCGCTCTCTCATTGAAACACCGACCGCTCGCCCAAACACTGATCACTGGCACATGAGTGGTCGAAATGATGGTTTTGATAGTAAAGTGTGAACATACAACTAGTATTAACTATTATTAAATTCTGAACGACACTTCAAATTTAATAGTTGTATGACACTTGTATCGTGAAAGCAACTGAACTGTGACCTCTTGTTACATGTTTTGGGTGCTTGTTCTAGATGTAATATTTTTCATTATTATTTTAATAAGACAGTTACGTGAAAAAAGCATAGATAACTCATTTTGACAGAGCAGAGAAACGAGGAAATGTTAATGATTAATTCCAAAAATAACGATACCAAATCCACGTCGGCCGGTCTGGTAAAATTTGACATTCAATTTTCAAAAATAAGTCACGATCATTGAATGAGTTCAGTCTATACCGTAATTTATTGGGCTTAAAAAAAACGTGTCAAATTTAGTTTATAGCCATAAATATTTTGTGGCCAGTCGATGAACAATTCGAAACTGAGGATTCACACGCAAGTCCTTCAGGGGTGAAAATCATCGACCCTACTCTGGTTTACTTTATTTCCCAACTTGCAGAGAAAACTGATTCGCCGTGGACTCTAATGTATCTAAACCTAGTTAGTATTTTCTTTTTGAACTGAGGTCAAATTCCATTCGTTTGTTAAAATATACCGATGTTTTTCAGTGAATAATTTTGAAACCTGTCATAGCACAAAAACACTATGTGAATCGACACCGGAAATTGGAAGGTACGACAACCCTTCAATTAGCGTCAAATATGCTTTGTTACAACATCATTGATTGGCTGAAAGTCACCTGATCGGAGCACGACCTGGGTCACATAACCATATTTGTTCGTATTATCAACAGGACCTCGCAAAAGAACCACACCCACATTTGCAATCTTATTTAGAGCGAAAGTTGCCAACAAATGTAAAAAAACTCGTGAATTTCATGGATTCGAATTCGCCCTTGCTAAACTCAGTATAGAGAAACCAACTGGGATCGACATTCCAAACAAATTATTGGGACAGGGTCAACAGACATACATTCCAAACAATCGAAATTATCAACGAAAAACGAGAATTTTCTAGATATTTACAGACATACTGTCATGAAAAACATATGTAAAATTAACAAATACACAAAGAGGTGTAATATTAGGTTTTATTTTAGGCACTCAGCCCATGCATGGAACTGCCATTTAGCTTCATGGTCCTTCAGCTAGGCTTTGCCTCGGGGGGGGGGAGGGGGGGGGGGAACAACAATAATTATACAAAACACATTGCGAAGACTCAACAATCAGGAAAGAAAACCCAGACAACCATGTCGTACTTGTGTTGAAATACATTTTGTATTTCACGTCAGAATATTGTTTAAAATAAAATATTCAGTCCAAGCCACATCGAGGTCAAATGGTCAGATTGTGTGCATATAATTATAGATAGTTAAAACAAAAAGTATTTGAACTTTTGTCAGCTGTTCATAAAACATTCATAAAAAACAGAAAGACAATTATAAGACAATGTGAACCTCGGAAATGTTTCTATTAATCCGAATTTTAAATGCGCGCGAGCGGGCGATGATATTTCGGGGTTTGCGTGGTCGAAAATAAAGCGGAAATTCAACAAGCGGTCGCAAAAGCGAGAGAAAAAGGTGATTGGGAAGCGGAAGCGGGCGGGAGGTTGTGCGAAATAAGTAATGTAACTTTGCGCAACTTTCTTTTAAATCGTTTTATTTTCCAAGTCAGTATTCTATTTTACTAATACCATTTTTTCTAACGCAATGACGAAGAAAATAAAGCGTTGAAAAGAAAAATCTGCCACTCAGTGTCGCAATCTGAAACAGCAATTTTTTTTCTCAAACATCGGACATTTTGTTTCACCATGAAAACCGTTTTATTAGATCTCTTATCAGAGACACTTGAAGGATTAGCTTGTTTGTAAACTGTCAGCGTGTACAGTGGGACAGTAATGTTTGTCAGAGGATTATTGTTCGTTTGCATAACAATGGAAACCCGAACGTTCCTGGAGTACGGACTCAAATGCTAGCAGTTTTCTTCATTTTTCACGCTCGAGCTTGAAATTATTCATTATGTGACACTCTTTATGAGTTTTATGATATCAGAGGTTAATATGTTTGGCCATTTTTAGTGTGTACATTGTATTTATAATAATGCAACAAATCTACAGTGTTTTATTAACCAAAACTGTTTTTCGCGTTTTTCTCGAGTTGAGGTTTTGACTGAGTACGACTCATTGGGACCGCCGCCAAATCAAGTGCGTTCGGACTAGGACATTCAAACTCACAGTTATCATTCAAAAGATAATGATGGTGTGAAATATGTCTGGGTTTTTAAAGAAAATGCTTTGTCACAGAATAATAGTCTGTTAAAGGTGCCAAGTATGAAATAATTTGGGGACAAAAAAACAAACCTGCATAGAAATCGGAATAATAGGTCTTTTGATTACCGGGGACACATTTCAATGGACTTGATTACGGACAATGCATGACGTAAATTTCACCAGGAAATTCCACAGTGTGCTCTCGCAATCGCGGACTTAGTCATTTTTACAAGGTTCGCCATTTTTGATGTCACGTGATAATTATGTAAACAATGACTGTCCAGTTTGTGCGAACTTGTACCTCTATACTTAGTCTTTTGAAATATATAAGCTAAATTACTGTTCTGAACGAGACAACAGACAGAGAATGTTTTATTCAAAAACGTCACAAAACCCTTCTCGCTACCTTAACTCTGTGTTTTTTAATAATCATGTCGTATGTGAAACGCAGGAGACATTTTAGTTCGCCCATTTCTTGTTTACCGACATTTTGTCTGGAATGCGATACAGACAAAGATTAAACATTACTGATAACAACCAAGAGGCTCGACCCAGGAAGGCTTGGATATTTTAAACTTCGTAAATAACATTCTTTTCAAGCGTAGACTTTATTCGAGTGTAATAATACCAACAACAATTCGTTTACACCATTGGTTTTAGAAAGGTTTTTAATGCTTTTCGGCTTCACAGTGAATTATTTTAGCGTCATATTTGAAATAGCGCGCTCGATACAAGATGTCGGACGGGAAAATTGGGGTCTGTAAAAATGTTTGTTGGTTCAGTCAGGCAATGTGTGGACCAAAACATCGCCCACTATTTGAAACATCGCCCATGGGCGGGGTTTAGGATGGGCGGGGTATCAGCCGAATCCGGTAGTACATCCAAGTTAAATCTGGGAAATTCACTATTTTACCCTTACTTCACGATTTGTGTTACTGTTATCCACAAACTTGGTTACGTTCCTAGAATTTTGATCTTTGATTCCTCCGCGCTAGTCTGGAAATCTTGCCTTAATTTTACTCAATAACGCATTTTCATCTCCGTGGCAACTATTAGTTGGTACAGCAAAAGCTTTTCCGGCAAAAAATAATTCCATCTAAAATAAAGTACTGTGGAATACTTTATTTTTGCTGGAATTAATTTTCGCTGAAAAGGCTTTTTGGGCGTTTTGTATGGAATTTATTTTCACTGATTTCTGATGAGTTTAATGGGAAATATAGGCAAAAAAAGTATATTCGCTGGATTTTATTTTCACGGAATCATCCCTTCAGCGAAAATAGCGAAAATAAATTCCAAGCAAAAATAAAGTATTCTACAGTATTTCACAGTACTTGTTTATCTATATTTTGGGGAAAGAAACACTACATTACCTGTGATTTCAACCAAGAATTGCAGGCAGGGTCTCTTAACAAGGGACAAAGCTTTTGATATTTGTAAAGGTGTCTGTCCATCGTGGTTACGAACAGTAGGATTAGCACCATACATGTGGAGTAATTGACAAGCCGCAACATCATCCTTCAACGCAGACAAATGTAGAGGAGTCTGTCCATCCTCTTGGCGACCTAAATTCACATCAGCACCTTTCTTGAGAAGTAATTTGCATATGGAGTGATTGCTCTTGATGACCGCATATCTTAACGGGAAGCCGAGCTGCACATCAATATTAGCTTTCCATTGCAGCAGTGTTTTGATACAAGCAGTTCTCTCTCTGATCATAGCTAGCTGGAGAGGCGTTGTGCCTTTATCACTCAGTGAGTCTACTCTAGCTTGGTGTTGAAGTAACAGATCGGCAAACGAGTCTCTGCCATAATGTGCTGCAACATGTAAAGGTGTCCATCCGTCACTGCTACAGATGTTCACTGCACTGTTTATCTGTTGATCAAAGTCCAGTAAGAGCCGTGCAATACGTGTTCTGCCGTGCATGGCTGCATAATGCAATGCTGTAAATCCTCCTATACTGTCTCGGAGCTCTGTTCTCCCTGTAGAATAAGGAGAGAAATATTTCGATTTAGCAAAGAACATGAATCTTCTGTATTTGAAAATTCATTTTACAATCATATACCACATCTGAAATTCAGATACCTAAATTTTATAAATCCCTAAATAATTACGTGTTTTATCATCTTTTCAACATTATTAGTAATCGATATATCCATTATATGATGAATAATCTGGACAACACCACATACATTCGTATTATGTTCAATACTAGTCCCAGGCGACATGCACACTACTTGCAAAATACATTACCAGGGATATTTACACAAAATTCATGTTTGCAAATGATGGAAGGTTATAAAAATAAAATAAAACAAGACATGAAATGTCACAGTCCCTGTCATTTGATTATAAAGTAGTTCAAGGATCATCTGCAAACAGGTGAATAAATATGTACTCTTTGTGGGTACAACTCATCATAAAGTGATTTCCCATAATCTAGTTTTGTACTGACAACTAAAAACTTCCACTGACCCATGTACAGAATCTCAGAGTACACAAGTGCAACAAAACTATTTGTCATACATGTATACTTGCTCAAGAAACTGCATTCATAAATCTGAGTGAACCTTGATGTACATGACTTCTTTGTTAATCAACATCACCACTGGGCATCAGAATCATTCTCATGTTGTCAAATACAATTTGTTATTAACACAGTAAGGTTTATTATTTAAAATGTATTCATTGTACATAGAACAACATCTGTTAATTTAAACAAATAGTAAAAGCTATGTTTTCAGAGCAAGTACATGTAATAATTAAGAAAGCCAGTAGCGATAAAGGTTGGTCTGCTCATAACCTTCAATGGAGAAGTAACAGTAATTGTTTGAAGTCTTTTTAGTGCAGTGATATTATTGCATTTCAATCATTATTAATGGGTATAAAATACTGTAAACCATTCAATTTTCACTTCTAGATATATTCAGGATTTTATGAAATTTGTGTACAACATTTCAATAAAGTCCCTGACACTCCATGTTGTAGGAACCCAGAAAATATTGCCTTGCGAAATTGAAGCAGTTCACAGCACCACTGAAAAAAAAAAAAAAGTTTAAAATGAGTATAGTCAAAGATATACACATGTGGGTTCATAAGATATACCGGTATGTACCAATCTGAGTGGTTCTAGGGATTAGTATCACAACATTTTACTCTCCGTGATTCAATATCAGTCCTATGTATAACGCTGTGTTGATCAGGCGAACTAATTGACAATGGCCCTACAGGCATCGCTATGCAATCACAGTAGTTTTGTATTCTTCTAGCATTTTGACCATGAAAAAATAATAGTTTTTGAGAGTGGAATCAGAATCAAGATTGAAAAATAACAAGACAATATGCAGGATTGATAAACCTTCAGCGAGCACTCCTGAAATTTCAGATCATTGGTACCATGTTTTTGGATACATTCAATAACCTGATACATAACACCACAATTTTTATTGCTCAATCACTTGACCCTGTATGGCACAAGATTGCAAGCTTCTATCATAAAATTGGGTTATTTATTTGATGCAAAGAAACATGCATTCACAGCAGACGGAAATTCGTTTGAGATGTTACTGGATTTTTGTGTCCAGTTTTCCATTTCAACCACCATCATCACTTAGTAAGCTGAGATCGCGCATGGGGATACTGACTGTGCATAAATGCACAGTGTAGTGCCACCAGAAGACCAATTGCTTGAGAATATTTTGCACCATTACGCCATTTCAAATATTATATTAATTCACAGACAACAAAATAAAGATTTTCAATAACATATAAGTTTTCCCACAGTTTATGATTGTATGGCAATTACATGGCTTCACCAGTTTTACTCTGGAAGAAGTTGGAAACAAATAACAGGAAGGGGCTACATGGCTAGATCTTTTTTTTTTGAATTTTAATCAAGCATGATTTTTTAATGTTTTTTTTTTACAAATGTCTATTTCAGGGCAACAGAAACAAAAACAATAAATGTGTAGGTAGGCATTTTAACAATTGCACAATTAATATTGGATGAAAACGCCATTACTGATATATAAATCATAACTCTGTTCAAATTAAGAATAAGATCACATTTAATTTAGTCAGTTTTCATAATTAAATACATAATAACATGTACTTATAAATTTGAATAAGGTTCAACGGCTTTTTCATTTAGTGCCAGTTTATACACCATAAAACCTCTCGTTTAGGTGTCACACTCAGAGAAGAGTGAAAGGCCTTAATTTGGTTCTAAAATAGGCATCGCGAAATGTTGGAATTGAATCCCCCCCCCAAAAAAAATTCAGTAAAGTTTACGAAAAGTAAAGTATGTTCTAAAGGAAGTTTCAAATAAATACAAACACGAATACATTGCTTAGTGGTTAGTACCAATATCAAATGATCACGGTAGCACAATCTGGTCATTCTGTGTTTCGCAAGTGAATAACTTACTTGTTTTCGAAGTATTGCAATTGTTTATTATTATTCAGTAATGATTATAATACGCACAAAAAATTAATTCGTTGAATTTTTATGAATTGGAAGTAATATTCAACTTAGTTTCATCGTAAACGAATGATTTCGGTCGAATGTAAATGTTCGAAGAGATACAATATCCGCCATGTTTTCATTTACACGTGGCTCATTTAAATATGTTAATGACGGTTCAGTGACCTCGTGGTGAACGCAACGCGGTAGTAGATTTACCGATGTTCTGGCAAGATCTTTATGCTTTGATTTTGACGGGGAAAATGGCATGATTTTTTTTAAATCGAAAAATTAGTTGTTTTCGAAAAATAAACTGAGCATTCAAAGAATAATTTAATATTGTTCACAGAAATAACAGCCCATTGTCGAAACAAAGCTTACCCATTCACGCTATTCACAATAAACATGATACTCTTGAATTGGTGTCAATGACTACGGTAAAATATAAATTCTCTTTTAGGCGTCAGGAGTGAATGAAATATCCAAAATATAAAAAAAAAACTGCCGAAAAAACGCCGGGGGATTTCATGGTCTGTTCACAGTCCCTGTGAAGGGACTGTGGTCCGTTGCAGACTGCTCGACCGACCGTCCATACACGTGTTGTCACTGTACATCCGCCATGTTGAGTCGCAGATCGGCAAAAGTTTAATGCTCACAACATAAAAAATACTAATATAATCATGGGCAACCTGCTATTATATAATGAATAAATTGATCGACACAGGGACATTCTTTTCCCCCCCGAGTTGTGAATATTTCGGAAATCGCTACACAAGCAAAAGATTGGAAAACGATTTACCGGTACTTGAAAACTATGTCCTCGTGAATTAATCGTTCATGTACAATAATTTGACAGGATATACAATTCACAAACTACATGTAGTTTCGTAGATTAGAGACAATTGTTTGCTTTTTTTGGCTTTTCACAAGAATATAAAGCTGGCAATCATAATATTCACGTCCGTACGTCACGGAATGTACACCAATCGTACCCCAATAAACTGGAAAACTTACCTTTGCAAACACGTCTCTTATGCCGCCTTTTCGAAGTTCTTGAAATCAAATAAGGTTACTAGTTCTTCTAGTAATTACTGAATGAGACCACTGAGCCGAACAGAATACATGTATAAACAGTACTGCACGCAATGGAGAAATAACATGCGGTAAACAGAGTTACTCACAGATCTAATCTACTGTAATATACTTTATTTCAGCTGGAATTATCATTCGCTGAAAAGACTTTTTCTGGGTGTTTTGTATTGAATTTATTTGCATTGATTTTTGACAAGTTGACTGTAAAATATAGGAAAAAGGGTATATTTGCTGGATTTTATTTTAACTGAAACATTCCTTCAGCGAAAATAGCAAAAAAATGTTGCAAGCGAAAAAAAAGTATTTTACAGTAATTAATTTATTCTGAGTATGCGCAGACTTCTGTCAATGTTGCTGGGAGAGGTAATTTTTGATGAAAATCGTGAAAAAGACCCACTTGGGATATTCAGATCTGGAAAAAAAAATACGTGCATACTCGGCGAAGCCTTGTTCATCAACCTGCCAAGTTTCACTGATACCTGCTGTAGAATTTCTGAGAAAATGTTGGAGACGGAAAAAGGAATATGGAAAGCGGAAAACGGGCATTTGACAAAACCTGAATTATAAGTCCCCTTTTCAGGCTGCGCTGTCCTTAGAGGTCAATTATAAGCATATCCTGAATGTATAGAAAGCTGCTGCACAACCCAACAATGAAACCTTGTAATAATGAGCAGCATGGCCTATCGTACAAGTATAGCATCTGCTCTATTAGTAACATAAGAACTTACATGAAGACAGAGATGTATTTATGATTAAAATAAAGAATACTGTAAAATGACTAATTTTCACTGGGTTTAAATTTCGCTGATTTACCATTTCAGGCACATTCAGTGTTTTTTTAATTCACGGTTTTATCATTTAGATAATGTGTTCTATGTTAAATTTTACATATTCACTGGGTTTTAATTTAGTGCATTTTTCAGTCCGCGAAATAAGCAAAATTAAAACCCAGTGAATAATTAACCTCTTTACAGTATTTATTTTATCGCATAATCTTAATAATTATACTGTAACAGAGCAAACATATTACATCATAATAGAGAGCAACTCAATCTACTCTACCAGTATCAGGTCAACCCATAGTACCGTATTTAGGGAGCTTCATGACACGCCTACAATGTACCGTACCATCACATGCTCCTACTGACTATGCTTGAGAACTCACCTCCATTTTCAAGGAGTACACGCAAAACTTTTTCTCTTCCTCTTGAAGATGCTAAATGTAATAAAGTCCATCCATTTAAATCTTGATCATTTGGTGTTGTTCCTTCAACTAAACAACGACGAACTGCAAATATATCACCTTTGGCAACAGCTAAGCGTATCCTAGCAGTTTTTGAAAAATCTGTGCGCTTTAACTTGCTCCGTGTCTTCATCTTGAAACTGCTGTTAATGGAGAATTAAAAAAAAAAGATTAGGTGCTCAAAACTGGGAAGTAAAAAATAGATGAACTGCAGAAAAACTACAAGGTTCATCAACTCTCTCTCTCTCTGGACCTAACAATTTTTATTATGCTGGTGATTTCAAACAATCATTTAGCATACTTTTGTCGGAAGGTTAGGCTACCTCATAATAATGACATGACAGAAGTTACGACTTTTTAATAATGAATAATTTCTATAACTCCATCTTCCATAAAATTTATAATAAAACAAGACTTTTTTTGGCAATACATGAAAAATGGTGAAAAATTACAGAGATACTTGAATGACAATTATCCAGAATTTTAGCAAATTCAGAAAAGTTTATCGTAAACATTGTTAACCTGAGTTTTGTTAAATAATAAGCAAGCCGGTGCAAAGAAAATGATGGCTAATGAATTGAAATCCAACATTCTTTAACCTGTTGTGAAAGTGCATGTTATACCACACAATTTGTTTTTTGTCTTAAATATTGATTATATTAATATTTAATTGGGTGAAATTATTTTCTCAAACGATGTTGTTTATACCCACAGTCAGCTGGTATTACCATATGTGTTATAAGGTACCATGAGACATATACATACAGACACTGTAATATTGGATTATTGTATCATTCCCTAACAATATGACTTCGTACTTGTTTATTCCAAATTATGCAAAACTCGTGTGTACATGTATTAATTTGAATTAATGTAATCAGTGTTATATAATAGCTTAAGTTATCACTGCTTGAAACATTAAACCATCAAGGGAATGTGATTAAACTTCATAAACTGTTGCTAATTTAAATTAAACATACTACTTTCGTCGAATATAAATGTCACTCTTGTCGGCGACCGGTCACGTACCCGACAGATCAACGGTCAACGCTTGCATTCAAACTGTAGCCACGTCTCAAATTCAACGAACTGTGTCGTTAATATACGGCTCAAATCGACAACATACCGGTAGTATACGGCGAAGAATGTTGTACATGGCATTCCTTGAACTGTTAAAGTGTGGGGTGAATGAACAGGGTCAAATTCTCCCCACAACCTACCTAATCTCCCGATTTCGTGACGATGCAACAGCTGATTTCCAGAAATAAACACTGAAAATACATTCACAACAAAACAGATGGGCGACCAGTTTTCAATCTACTGAATACTGTGGTAGACTATCTTGTATGACGAAGATTACAGCAAACCTCTCGTGTAATATCCAGCTGAATCAGTAAATGTTGTGAAAGAGGAGAATAGTTGTATACATTTTGTAAATTGCTATTTGGAAAGGAAAGACGCCGCACATCGTTCTTTCTCCGCCATCTTGGATAAAAACAAAACAAACGTTCTGCGCATGCTCGCATTCCAACTTTCCCCACTGCATGAGGGTATCTCGTTTTATAGGGGGGGGGGGTCTGGTTCAAATTATTTGTATGTTAAGCTCGCACATTTTTAAAATGTCCACCCCAACACACACATACATAATGCATTTCTTGTTTTTTGTCGCTGATATTTTAACTTTCTGGATGGGGGTGATTTTTCAATACTAGTACCCGTACCCTTTCTGTCACGTTTTTTTTCCAGAAAATTAAAAGGTGATGTTCACCGCCCTGTTCGATACAGGACCCATAACGACGTATACAATGCGTGTAAAATACATTGTTTATATGGATTTCGAACGCGCGACCACCATTTGAACTTCACTCCATAACACTTCACTTAGCCTGACAAGGTTGCATGAGATGCGCCCTCAGTGGTGCTCTACATGTCCGTAGCCAGGATTTTGCCTCGGGGGGGGGCTTTTTTCTGTCTGAGGGACCAACTCGCGAGCTTCCTAGGGGGCGGGGTATGGGTTAGAAATAGGTGAAACCACGTCATGACCAGCGGCAGGCTTTATTTCAATAATAACACATGTTTGTAAGGGCAATATCACGATTTGTTGCCTGCCCAAAGGATGGTGGTCATGACCATAATATTGAAGGCGAGTCGAAAGGCGAAGGCATCATCAATATTATGGTCTGACCAACAGCACGAGGGCAGACAACAAATCGTGATTTTGCCCGAATGACCATGTGTTATGTATTTTATCGCATCGAGCAGTCATCAATCATGCACAATCACAACTACCATACATCACTCACATCCGCCCCCCCACAAAATAACAACATTTATATTTGAAGTATGTAATATTTTATTTTATGTATATAACAAGTTTCACATTACTCAATAATATTCATACACTGTTTTGACTGAAAAAAAAAACACACACAGTAAATGCTATTTTCAGCCACGGATACTTTTTTTGAACCGTCAAGTATTTCAGCAAGTCATATATATGGTACACAGCTAATAGAGCGTTTTCGGGCATGCTCCAAACCCAACACACGTAGGTTCTGATGACGCTCTGTCGACGAGGGCGCCACTCACGTCTACATGTCAGGCTGAACTTCACTGAAATCAAAGCAAATCTAAAATTGTTACTCCACAAATGTTAGTTTACAGCTTTCCTGTTTGAAATGGGAAGGGTGTGTTTTTTGGAGGAGGCACCCAACCCACCCTGGTTTATACGGTAACCCCTTACTGTAGAATTCTCATCGCCGTCAAGGCCGTAGCTAGCGTGGGGGGGGGGTCGGCTTTTTTTTTAAATAGAAAAGTTACGAGCAACCACGTATTTGGTTTGTACACGATTTGAAATAAAACATGGTAAAGTCAGTTGCGTGTACTTTGTTTATATTTATTACTGAGCGCGTTGACACGTTGACGCACAGTGGGTCAAACGTTACCTTCAAGTATTTCTGATTGACACGTCAGCCATGTCAGCTTCGAAGAAACGTTGCACACAACTGTCAATGTTGAATTTTTATAGTACAAGCAGTAATGTGAGGAATACCAGTATGATTGATGTATGACGTCGCCCTGACAGTATGTATGGCAGTAAATTCAACTGAACGAAAAATCGATCACACGCGCCACAATCTGATGATATAAATCATTTAAATTACGGCTTCTCTCTTTTTGGAATATGTGGTGGCCCTGAAAAGGGCCGTTTAGTTTGGTTGCTATGAATAATCAAGCTCGATCACTTCATTATGATCTTCTTGGTGGTCGAGATTTCACAGGGTCGGCAATGCCTCGCGGCGGCGGGAAGCAATTGTCAGAATTTCGTAAACGATGCGGAATATATTCAAAAATATTGAATGTATTGTATATTATCTTTTTTTGGATCATGTCATCCAAGATCTTGAGACGCGATTTGCTGATCATCACTGTGATCTGATAGCTGCACTAGCACTTTTACCATGCAACATTGGTCAGCACACATCAACCCATGTGACCTCAATCAACAACTACTATGGTAAATTGTTGCAAAGGGGTGAATTTTTGAATATTGAAATTGAGAAGTGGATAACAAAGTTCAGTGATACACCAATTGAGCAAAGGCCCAATGATGCTGCTTCATCTCTTGCTGTTTGTGATGTCAACTATTTCCCAGCCATCCACAGAATTCTCACAATATTCTTTACAACACCTGTCGGAAGCGTGTCATGAGAACGTTCTTTTTCTGCACTTCGGCGGGTGAAGTTGTGGACACGATGTAGCATGACTCAAGACAGACTCAGTGCTCTTGCAATGTTACTAGTACACCGAGGCACAGACATCATTCGTTCCCCAAAAGTGATTTATTCAAGAAAAGCTAACTGGAGATAAACTAATATGCTATCGCCAAAGTTGTAAACATAAACTGTGTATTTTACAACTATCAATTGTATTAATCAGCCCTGTACATTACATTAATGTTGATCCTATATGAAGATAGAACAAAAGTGTTTTGTATAATATTATATTCATAAAATATATCAAGATGATTTTATTGTTAAAAATAGATAGATATACCCCCCCCCCCTAGCCATTAACTTATGGCGCAACTGCACACCTCTACGCCTTTATACATTTATACGCAATTGAAAAAATGCATTTGCTGCCCCCCTAGTGAAAAAAAGCTAGCTACGGCCTGGCCGTATTAACCATTTCGTAATTTTAAATAACAAATTATGTTCTAATCTGTAGAGGACTGTGTTTATGTTGACGATTCACTCAAGACAATGCTACTGAATAGTTCAATTCTTTAACGAACTACGTTCTGAACTACCATTATACAAATAACACACACAGTGATTTTACAAAGTTGGGTGGAACTGATTTTGATAATGAGAAGGATATAGGGGTCATTGTGGACCAGAAATTGTCTTTTGAGATGCATATGAATGAGAAAATCAACAAAACTAATCAAATACTAGGTATTATTAAAAGAAATTATGAGTATCAGGAGTATTTAAATATTCATTCTATTTGTGCGATTTACAAAGCTTTTAGACTCCACATTGAATATGCTAATCAGGTTTGGTGTCCACACCATGAAACACATGTTAATGATTTAGAAAATGTTCAACGATATTACAAAGCTTTTACCAGATGAGGTGCCAGATAGGCTACAGTAATTAAATTTACCAATATTTGCCTTCACAAAGCTACGGGCGATATGATTGAAATGTACAAGATCTTGACAAATAAGTCATTTAAAAACAAAGCAAATTACTCACATGAATAAACACACATGTAATAATATAACATTTACTACTTGTAATGTAATCTTGTTCTGAATTAACACATTTCGCTCACGGCGGCCCACTGCAATTAGTTCGCTAAACAGCGCCCTCCAAGGACATAGATGGGAAAGTAAAATGGTACTCAGTACATCGGACATAGCGCAACAAATGAAGAAAATTACATGATGGAGAAGAAAAATGTGCTTATCGGATGTACCGGAAGTGTAGCGTCAATATTAATGAATCAACTCGTCACAGAACTGCAGGGATCTATTGAAAACGTAAGCTTTGAATAGTGAGTGTTTCTCTCTCTAAAACCAAGTCTTTGAAATATGGATCGTTACGACGTTAGCGATGTGATCAGTCCATGTCTGAATTCAGCTTTGTCCTTCTGTTTCATATCACCGTGTTGGTAATATATTAAAGTTATTAGCGACAATGTGTGAGTGACCTGTCACAGCTGACAGCCTCATTTTGCTCGTTGTATTCTACCACGTCATGATGCACTACGTTATAAACAACGCCCTCAGTGGCTAAAACAATAATAATTTAACCTACTACCCAGGTAGTATGAACAATAACAGCAATAATTTGATAATGAAGTGGTCCCACACGCTATCCTGTTATACAGTAAAGTTCCTTCTCTTATTAAAAAGCAGTGCGGTCACACATTGGTTATACCAAGGTCATTCAACAAACACCTCTAAAACCATTTGATTTCTTGAGAGAAACTTTTTATACAAATTTTATAAGGCAGGGAAATTGACAAAACCTTCACTTGGGAACTTGAGCCAAAAAAAATGATGAAATTTATGATAGCCATTGAGAAAATTTAATGGTTTATGTTTTGATTACATCTTTTTTAATTGCAGATTGAGATACGAGTTGTAGCTACGAAACATTCACAGCATTTCTTTGACTCCACGTCATTACCAGTGAAAGTATACCAGGATGAGGATGAATGGAAGGTGAGAAAGTACAGCAACATGAGTTAGTAGTTGGGTATGGAATATAACAAATAACCACTGAAAAATATATTAATAAATTGAAAGAGTATTTGATATGTAATGCTACTTTAATCAGGGCTTACTTTGGTCTGACTAATATTTATTGATTATTTATTATTGACCTTAGCATACTGTAGAATACTTTATTTTCGCTTGGAATTTATTTTCGCTATTTTCGCTGAAGGGATGATTTTGTGAAAATAAAATCCAGCGAATATACTTTTTTTCCTATATTTCACATTAAACTCATGAAAAATCAGTGAAAATAAATTCCAAGCAAAACGCCCAAAATGTCTTTTCAGCGAAAATTAATTCCAGCGAAAATAAAGTATTCCACAGTATATAAATAATACACAGTATATTAATGGGCACCAAGGCAGTTATTGGTCATCATGACAATAGCCTTTGATGTCTCTGTGAAGTTCAAGCATACATGGTGGTCAATCTGATTGAATTAAAATTCTAGTTTGGTTTTCTCTTGTTTTTAATTTAATTTAATTTAATTTAATTTAATTTAATTTAATTTAATTTAATTTAATTTAATTTAATTTAATTTAATTTAATTTAATTTAATTTAATTTTGATTTATTATTTAGTTGTTGGTAGTTTTTTAAAGTTTTGGTAATAACAAAAGCAAACAAGGTAACAATAGTTAAAATAATATAAAATAAAGATTAGTAGTATTTGTTAAAAAATGTATAAAATAACAAAATAGTAAAAAGTATAATAAAAATAAAATAAAATGTGTTCAATCTATAATTTAAATACACGTACTACGATATTTTACTCCCGCTAACTGTCACATTTTATGGTCTGATTTCAATTGAAATCTATCCAAAGTTGAACAAATGAACAACAGTTTTACGAACAACAGTTAATAATAATATAGTTTTAGGACATACAGTGAAATATTTCCTGTATTTTTGACCAGTGAAAATGTGAGATAATTTTCCAAGGCAAAAACTCTGAATCAGCACAAAAATGAAGTACCCACCATTCCTTTCCCAGTTACTCTCTGAATTCACTGTACTGAAAGTTTTTGTATTTCAGGCATGGACAAATAGATCAGACCCGGTCTTGCATATTGAACTTAGGAAATGGGCTGATATGTTCTTGATTGCACCCTTAGATGCCAATACACTTGCTAAAATTTCTAATGGTCTGTGTGACAACCTGCTGGTGAGTGAAATACTTTGAAACAATCCACAAGAATTGTCTTTGGCCTTTTAACTGTAGTTGAAAATCTATGCAGTGTTTCGCTCGCTATAAATTACTCCAGAATCTATTCAGCATTCCACTTGTTATGCGCAACTTCACAAACACAGAGAATCTAATACATGTGTAGTAGCATTCAGTTCACTACTACCACTTCGCTAATGCCTAGAATTTATGCGATGTTCCACTCGTTATACACCACTCCACTAACGCATGAAATCTATCTAACGTATATTCCAATTGCATATATAGTCCACTAATGCAGCACTTAGTTCACTATGTGCCACACCACTAATCCCTAGAATTTATGTGATATTTTACTCAATCAATAACCACTTGCTATATACCATTCCACTGATACTTAGAATCTATCCAGCATTCCACCTGCTATACTTTCAACTAATGCCTATAATCTTTGCAGCGTTCCTCTCACTATAC